AGGACATAAGTGGAGGAAAGCGGTGGGATCTAAAATTATAATATTATAATTTTATAAAAGCATGTTTATGAAAGAAGACTAGAAAAGAATAGCAAAAAGAATCGTGTTTATGGTGACATTTTTCTTACAATTTGTTAGTATAATTTATGCATATCTTTTTTTTCTTTTAAAAATCTTTGTTCACCTAGCCTAAATGCAATACTTCCCAGCCATTCTCCACCCTTGAACTCACAGGATATTCTCAGGGTGGGGAAAAGGAAAGGGTTAGTGTCCCACTTGCTCAGAGCACTGTAACTGGTGCTCCACATGACCATGTGACCATGTATATACACTTTTGTCTACACTTCTCAGCATCCCCATGTCCTCAGTCCTAGGTTTCCACACTTAGCAGAACAAAGTAGATAATCCCAGACCACCAGAATTTCCCACCTGAACTTGTACTCTGACAGGCCTAGCCATTTGTGTTCCCCAGACTAGCAAAATCAGGTCACTTGAGAACTTGTGAAAAATGCAGAATCTCAAGTCCCATTCTTGATCTTCTGTATTAAAATCTGTACTTTAGCAAGATCCTGCATTGATTCATCTGCACATAACAGTTTGAGTACAACGGCCGAGGTGGTTCAGACAGTGCAGCACATACGTGGTACAGAACTGAAGAGCACTGCAAAAGGCTTTGAAAACAGAACTGACATTGAAACCAGAATTTGGATCCTGAACCCAGCTATGTTGATTGCCTTCTAAAACAAAAATAGCAGGATTCCTCCAGAGCTTCATGACAAATGTTCAGACTTTACAGGATACAATCCTAAGTTACTGGGCATGCAGAGAACCAAGAAAATGTCAACTCACAAAAAGACAACAGATGCCAGCACCGAGATGACACAGATGTTGGAATTATCTGGCAAAGATATAAAGCAGCTATTATAAAAATGCTCCAAGAAGTGAGGGCAAACAGTCTTGAAATGAGGGGAATAATAGGTCTCAGCAAAGAAATAAGAAGCTATAAAGAAGAACCAAATGGAAATTTTAGAATTGAAAAATAAAATAATCAAAATAACCTCACTGGATGAATGAGTATCATCAGAATGGTTAAATAACAGAAGAAAGAGTGAACTTGAAGATAGAACACTAAAAATTATCCTGTCTCAAGACAGAGGGAAAAAAAGATTTAAAATGAGGTTTCAGGGATTTGTGGGCAAATTATAAAAGGTCTAACATTGGGGTGATCAGAGTCTCAGAAGAGAAAGAGTACAGTACAGAAGAATTATTTGAAGAAAATAATGCCTGAAAACTTCCCAGATCGGGCAAAAGACATAAACCCACAAATTCAAAACTCAGCAAACCCTAAATAGGATAAACCCAAGGAAGTCCATGTGTGGACATGTAATCAAACTGCTTAAAACTAAAGATCAAGGGCGCCTAGGTGGCTCAGTTGGTTAAGCAGCTGCCTTCAGCTCAGGTCATGATCCTGGAGTCCCGGGATCGAGTCCCGCATCGGGCTCCCTGCTCGGCGGGGAGTCTGCTTCTCCCTTTGACAGACCTCCCCCCTCTCATGCTCTCTCTCTCTCTCTCTCATTCTCTCTCTCAAATAAATAAATAAAATCTTTAAAAAAAAAAAAAAACTAAAGATCAAGAAAAAAATCATGAAAGCAGCTAGGGAAAAACAATGACTTGCTTACAGAAGAATAAGAACTTGAATGTCGATTTCTCATCAGAAATCATGGACACCAGGAAGAAGTAGATCCATGTTCTTAAAGTGTGGAGAAAAAAGAATTGTTAACCCAGAATTCTTAATCCAGAATTTATTTCCGAAGGATATTAAGATATTCTTAGCAAAAGGAAACTAAGAGAATTCTTTGTCAACAGCTCTTCTCAAAAGGAATTGCTAAAGGAAGTTCTTCAGACAGAAGGCAAATGATAGCAGATGGAGACTTGGAACATCAGGAATGAAAGAAGAGCAATAGAAAAGGTAAATGTCTGGGTAAATATAATTGACTGCTCTCCTCTTGAATTCTCCAAAATATGTTAAAGTTGAAAGCAAAAATTACAGCATCTCAGTGTATGTTGGTGTAATGCGGATCAACTCAAGCATAAAGGGAGAAGAATAAGTGGACCTGTCTATGCTGGTACAGTCTTGGCCTTCTACTTGAAATGGTAAAATACTGTTTCTAAGTAGACTGAAGAAGTTAAGTATGTATATTCAATCCTTGGAGCAACCACCTGGGAAAAAACTCTACAAAGAGATCTAGTCAGAGGCCCTAAAATTAATTAAAAAAAAAAAAAAAGGAAACAGAGGAATGAAAAACAGAGGGAACAGTTGGAAAACAAATAATAAATGATATAAATCTAAACATCTCACATAAAATCACATTAAATGTAAATGGTCTCAATACATCAGTTAAAAGAGCATGGGTTTTGAAGTTGGGCAGACCTGGGATGAATATTATATTGGCCACTTACTACTCTTGTGGCCTTGTATAAGAAGCCTTGCTTCTCTGAGCATCAGTTTCCTCATCTGTAAAATAAGAATAAAAATCATGTATTCAGAGGGCTGCTGCAAAGACAAAAGGAGATAATGTATATAAGGAACGCAGCACATCCATCTGTTAAAAAAGTAGGAGAGATGCATATTTGCTCACTCTATATGTAGAGTATCTTTGGAAGGACATATGAGAAACTGATATCTTAGTCATCTATAGAAGACCTAGGAGGCTGGGGAACAGAGGTGAGAAGGAGAATTTTTACTTTTCTGGGCTCATAATCTTTTATGTGCAATTCTGATATCAAAAGAGCTCTGGAAACCAAGGGGTTTTTTTCCATAAGACTGGTGCCAAACCTTGTTCGGTAGCAAAACCTGACCTGAAATGAGGAGTGAGTGTTGTTTTTATCTAAGAGGAGAGGGGAGCACAGAAGGAAGAAATTGGGTGTGGTCAGGACCACCCTCCCATTCCCTAGAGGGGCCCCGTTGCAGCTGGGACATATGGTCCCATGGGCCCAGCCAGGCTCTTTCGCCTGTAGCGTTAGCGTGTGTAACACTCTCCTTCAGTTGATTACCAGATGAAGTAGTAGGGGCTTGATTCCAGAGACCATATACAAAAATTACCTTTCTTTTAATCCCTGTAGCCTGCCTCATTCAACACATTCTGGACTGAGACTATTTTAATGTGGCTTCTGAGCGTGCACTTAACGAGTTCACAGAAGTGTGCATGTGTTACAGTGAGGGTGTGTTAAGTGTTGAGTCAAAGGATATGCTGTGACAATTTCAAGTACCCAGTGGTCAGGGCGGGCCCGGCAGCTGCCTTTCCAGCCTCCATTGTTCTCCCTGCCCCACGCTCTGTGGCCCAGGAGAGAGAAAGAGAGATGGCTGCGTGTTTCAGGAGCAATACGGCTCTGTTCTCCCAGGTGTTCTTATAGCCATTAGAAGCCCCTTCTGTTTGCTGATCTGTAGCAGGGCAGGTCATGGGGACAGTAAGTAAGGTGTTCGCAACTCTCCAGCACACCTGGTGTATCCAGGGTGGCAGGATGATAACAGAGGTCACCAGAAACTTCCACCACCAGCTCCATGAACCATAACTTGGGAACAGTCATCTAGGTCAGGAAAAATTCCTTCCCTTGGAAGCCTGGCCACATCCACCTAAATCACAGTATCCTTTCCAGCATATTAGGTAAAACTGGCTGAAGAAACACCTTCTTCTGGATTTTTTTCCCAGTTCTTTACTTAATGGCTCCTTACCTATAAGCATATTTTAGCCGCTGTTTAGCTCCAGAGGTCTGGCAGGAACACCCCACCCCACCCCAACCTCACAACTGCCGGGTTCGTATCGCTCGCTAGGACTCCAGGCAGACTCTAAAGCACGCTTTTGCAAATTCTAAATATTTTTTGTTTTATTATATCCATATCCTTTATAGAAAAAAGCAGGAAAGTATAAAGAAAATCATTTCAGGAGTAAGTTACCACTGTTTATATTTTCAGTGTGCTTCTTTCTAGTTTTATTTATACATACACACCCACACACGCATTTCTCACCGTTGATTTCCTAGGCTATTCCTAGGCTGTCCTTTTCCCCCACAGTTAACACTGGAGCATAAGCATCTTTTCATCTCACTTTGAAACTCTCTAAGAACATTGTCTCCATAATTGCATTTAGGGATATACCATAACGTGCCTAACTGGTCCCTATTTAGGCCAACTCCAGTTCCCTTGATCAAAGTCTCTATGGTGCTATTTTAATTTGAATGATGTATTCTTTAAGATGGATACTTAGATATGAAACTATTGGGTCAAAGAGTCTAAGACTTCTGAAAGACGCCTGTTATGGTGTGTATGTTAGACAGTACAGGTCGCTCTCCAGAAAGCACACCCTCGTAATGCTTCTAGCTTGCGCATTCCCAGTGAGAGTAAAAATGGGCTCTTGGTGTTGGGGTGCAAAACTCTTCAAGGTGACAGTGGTTTGTGGCCCTCCGGTGGGCTGCAGTGCGTAAACAGATACGCGGTGTCTGTGGGAACGAAGTGGCCTCTGCAGAGGCCGTCATGGAAAAAGGCTGCGGAGCCCTGTTCGAGCTGTGTGCAGGCACCCATCTCACGATCCATCCTGTAAGCTTTTAAATCTTGGTCTTGGCATTCTGGTTTCAGTGTTCGGATATTTTCTGATCTAAAAGTTCTGGGTTCTTTACACAAAGTTTAGGAACTTGAGAAAAATGTAAATAAATAAAATTTTATGTGGAGGATACCATGGTTAATATTTGTATTTTTGACAGTATTGGGATCCTCCTTGTGTTTGATTTGTGGTCAGCTCTTTTCAGTATTGCCCCTGTAACGTTATCAGCGTTAGTCTGTGCCGAAGACCACTTTGAAGTATCCCTTGTGTTATGGTCTCAGGCAGGGCTCTCCCCTGCCTGGGAGTGGAGTTGTGACCCCACGGGCGTCGCTTTCAAGCCCCTGGGAACCCAGGTGCCCGACTGCTCTGGGACTTGTGATAATTGCCCCTTGTTTGTTTCAGGTGTGATCCCCTGGGCCCGTTTGCTGTCGGGGGAGAGGACCTGGACCCCTTTGGGTGAGTACTGCTGGGGAGGGGTCAGCAACACAGCTTACTCCTGTGACTTTTCAGCCCCTGCTCATCTTCTAACCTTAGAGCTTTCCGTCAGTCTTCCTTTGGGGTGAAGGAGGCCGCCGTGGCTGAGCAGCTGCTAAGTCCCCCCACTGTTCTACTCTGCCATGCCTGGAGCCCTGCAGCGAGCTCTGCTGTGGGGGAGGGCCGAGCAAGCCAGGCAGGCAGCTCCTCTGTCACCTGCTGGCCCCAGTGGGGAGTCACCGATCACCCTGAGGCCCTCTAAGGAAACCACAAGAAAGCCAGCATCATGAATTGTCTCAATGCTGCTACTAGTCCGTAGACCTAAAGTAGTGCCCTGCGGAGCCTTGCGATGGTTCTTCATGGACCTTGACATTCTGGCACCTGTTCTTGATCGAATTGTCCCCCTTGGGTGTAGGACATGGCAGGAATCTGTTTTGTGGGTTCAGGGAGCCTGGAGAGCTACAAGGACAGGCCGCGTGCTCTTGGTCTTCTTGTTCTTGCCCATTTCTGCTGGCGCTCAGGTAACCATCCACCTGTGTCTGCTTGAGCTGTCCACAGTAGCTGGCCCGGGCATTCTTAGTCCACTCTCCCCTCCTTCGCCTCTTCTCCAGCAGCTCCTTGCCACACCCTCTCACCCATCTTTTCTTCTTGCTTCAGGTGTCGGAGAGGTGGCATGATTGTGGATCCCCTGAGGTCTGGCTTCCCAAGAGCACTCATTGACCCATCCTCGGGCCTCCCAAACCGTCTTCCTCCAGGAGCTGTGCCCCCAGGAGCACGCTTTGACCCCTTTGGACCCATTGGGACCAGCCCATCTGGGTAGGTACTCACTCAGGCATGCTGGGAAGTAGGGCCTGATGGCAGCTCCGCCCAGCGTTGCAGGAACGAGGGGTGTGACTGCAGGTGCAGAGGTGCTGCGGCTGCATCCGCCACTGCCAAGGGAGTGGGGCCGCCTCCAGGCCCCCGCCTGATGGCTCCCTGGAGCTCCCCATTCCTCGGTGCCCCCCTTCCCCCAGCCCCCTTCAGGGAGCACTCAGAGGAGGAAGAGCTTCTCACACTTACTGAAGTTTAGTCTGTGTCGGGGACTCGCTGGATCCTAATAGCAACACTCCTGGGTGCATATTACCCTTCACATCCTGTAGAAATCAAGGCCCTGAAAGATGAATTAACTTCTCCCAGGTGGGAGAATCAGGATTCAAGCCCTGGCTGTAGAGCACATGCTCTTCAGCCCCACAAAGTACCGCATCGTTCTGGAGGACAGGCTCCCTCTGCCCTCAGGGCCCATCTGCCTGTGTGCCCCGGCCCCTCCATTACTCCCAACTCACCAGCCCCTCTTTCCATTCCAGACCTAACCCAGACCATCTCCCCCCGCCGGGCTTCGATGACATGTACCTGTGAAGGCCTCAAGAATGTAACATCCCAGCCTTCCCTCCACTGTCCTGGAGCTGCCACCGCTGGCCCCATCAGCAACCGTGTTCTTGCGGGCTGGGGGCAAGGGACTCTGCCCATGTGTTTGTGGGCCGGCTGGGATCGCCTCCCCACCCCCTGTCAGAGCCAAGGCACCTGCTGCAGCTCTCCACCTGGCTGCATATAGGTCCCAAAGAGAAATCAGTGTGTCTCTCTCACCACCAGCTCCCCCACACTTCTCAAGGGAGACTCCGGCAACATCTCCCCTCGGCCCGATGCTGTCCCAGCTGTAGCACCATAAGAACAGAACGCATTTTGGATGTTATTATAAGAACCAAATGTCAATACAAAAATCATGTTGCCAGTCTCCCACTGTTCTTTACTGCCCAGCTCCTTCCATTTCTGAGACTCGAGAGTTTAATCTTTGTGGGGCTAAATGACTCTTCTCCTACCCACGGCCTATTCTTGCTTCTTAGGCCCCTTCCCGTCATAAATTGCTTTCTTGCTCCTGACATCACTGAGGTGGGTCCCAGTGTGGTTGCAAGGCCAAAAATGAGGGGCTGGAAACCCCATAGGGCCACAAGGATGACTTTCACAAGGGCAGGCACACTGCAGAAAGTCTGCGTCATTCTGAGAAGGGCAGCATCCTTCAGTCCCGCCTGTGTGCGCACATCCTCCGGTCCGTCTGTGCCTGGACGATGGCAGCCTCTAAGCAGAAGAATAAACAGACTGGAAGGCTGATCTCATTTCTGCCACTGACTTACTGAGCTGACCCAAAGGGCTTTCCCCTCCCAGGGCTTTCTTATTGCCTATGAAATCTGAGGGGCCCTTCCTACTCTAAAACACTGTGGTGTCTACTTCTCTGTGTGGCCACCTGTAGAAACGGGGGCAAAGGAAGGAATGAAGTTTCGAGGCTCTGTCTGGTACTTACCTACAGAGTAACTCGGTGCCCCTTGGGGCCCAGACAAGAGGAGCCGAGGAGTATGGGCTCCATCTGGGTATGGTATTGAACTCTGGCAGGAGCAGGGAGCCCAGCCTCTAGAAGCCTGTGGCCTTTGTCCAGGCCCGCCTGACCTCTGGTGTTCTCCGGATCCTTTTCAGCCCGAGGCCTGACAGACGTGGTCAGTGATGAACCCCTCTGCTGGAGTGGAAAGAGCACCATAGAGCACCAGGCTCAGAGGCAAGAGATCAAGGCACTAGTCACTTTCCTTCCACAACTAGCATTTCATCCATGGGTGGGTCCTTTTACTTCTCAGCTCCTTGGGTTCTTTCCCTGATATTAGGGCATACTATTTATCTGTGGGCAGAGGGTAGGCTACCAGAGCCTTCCTGAGGTGTGTGCTAATATGCTCTAGCCTGGGACTGCCTGTCTGAGTGTGGGTTAGGGGTACACTAAACTGGGGCCTGGGTGGGGAGGCTAGCATGAGCAGGCTTGGGCATTTCTGGCAGACCCCATCTCAAGCACTGATTTGGTAAAAGACCACCTCACAGCCTTGAGAACATTTCTGCTCTGCAGAGAGACTCAGAGATTGGGCAGAGCTACAAATGGAATCACCAGTCATAGTCTTCTTCCTCACGGGCCCGCAAATGGGTGGAATGTTTTTGTTTTGGAATTGGTTCATACCTGCTACGGAAAGGACTTGGGGCACTTTGGTCACACAAACATCCTTTATTATGAAAGGAAGCATTTAAAGAAACATCACACTAGAAACCATCAGACAAGCAGGGAAAGTAGATCACTTTTAGAACCATGATTCGAGGAAAAGATGATTGGAACAACAGATTTGCCACTTAGGTTTTCTAGTAGCAAAGGTCAAAAGGATGGTCTTAGACATAATTCTGTTTTCTGAGAACAGAAACTTCCTGACTTTCATCTGCAGAATCAGCCACTTTTTGCATGGGTCTCCTTGTATCAAGGACACTAAGGAACACAGACAATGTCTTAGTTGTGTGGGGGGAGGTGAACGGGGCCTTCAGCAGCTTCCACATCATGCTGCCACTTCCCTCCTTCCAGCCATGAGCAGTCCCCAGGCAGCTAGCGGGAATGGTTGCGGGTATGTCTTGTAGAACTCGAAAGGTGGAAGCCTAACAATAAAATCAGCACTCAATAACCTGTTACTTTTTTTCTTTTAATAACAGCTTTATTGAGATATACTTCACATACCCATAAAGTTTACCCTTTTAAAGTGTGCGATTCCGTGGTTTTTAGCGTATTCACAGTGTAGTCGTCCATCACCACATCGAATTCCTGAACATTTTTTACCACCTCAAAAAGAAACCCCCGTAACCTATTAACAGTCACCCCCGCCCCAGCCCCCCTCCAGCCCCAGGCAACCACTAGTCTGTTTTCTCTCTAAGGATTTGCCTGTTCTGGACAGTTAGTAGAATCACACAATATGTGGCCTTTGTGTCTGGCTTCTTCCACTTCATGTTTTCAAGATTCATGTCCACGCTGTAGCCGGTGTTAAGTACTACATTCCTTTTTAAAAAAAAATTTTTTTTTTTAAGATTTTATTTATTTGCGAGAAAGAGAATGAGAGACAGAGACCATGAGAGGGAGGAGGGTCAGAGGGAGAAGCAGACTCCCTGCTGAGCAGGGAGCCCGATGTGGGACTCAATCCTGGGACTCCAGGATCATGACCTGAGCCGAAGGCAGTCGCTTAACCAACTGAGCCACCCAGGCGCCCTGACTAAGATCTTTTGATTGCTCAGTGTTTAGCTGTGCAACACAGTCTTAAAGTACAATTTTGAGTTTCTAAGTTTTCAAATTAAGAGTTTTTTGTTTTTGTTTTTTTTTTTTAGGATTTTATTTATTTATTTGAGAGAGAGAATGAGATAGAGCATGGGGGGGAGGGTAGAGGGTAGAGGATAGAGATAGGGGGGAGGGTCAGAGGGAGAAGCAGACTCCCTGCTGAGCAGGGAGCCCGATGCGGGACTCGATCCCGGGACTCCAGGATCATGACCTGAGCTGAAGGCAGTCGCCCAACCAACTGAGCCACCCAGGCGCCCGGGCTACATTCCTTTTGATGGCTGAAGAATATTCCATTGTGTGGATATATACCACATTTTCTTTATCCGCTTAGCAGTTAATGGACAGTTGTTGGGTTGTTTCCGCTTTTTGTCTATGTGAATAATGCTGCTGTGGACATTTGTGTACAGGTTTTTGTGTAGACCTAGGTTTTCATTTCTCTTGGGTCTATACCTAGGAGTGGAATTGCTTGATTGTGTGGCAATTCAGTTTAACTTTTTGAAGAACTGCTAGACTTTTCCAAACTGGCCGCACCATACCCTGACGGTGGGCATGAAGGTTCTAGTTTTTCCACATCCTCGCCAGTACTTGCTAGTCTTCTTGCGTAGAGCCATCCTAGTAGGTACGAAGTGGTATCTCATTGTGGTTTTGTTTTCTGTTTGTTTTTTAAAAAAAGAACTTGACCTAGGCTGAGCAAGACAGAGACCAGAACCCGTCACCCCTGGGGAGAAGAGCATGGCTTTGGTAGGAGCCACCTCGGGGTGACCGTGGCTGGTAAGCTACAGAGGGGTTGGTTTGACTTCGAAAGGTTCTGGTCAGGATGTGCTATAGGACGGGTCTTGTCTGTAGGCAAGTTTTCATGACCTCTCCAGGTCTAGTGCAGTTCATGGCACTGCTTTTGCTTGGTTTGAAATTTCTGTGTTTACCCAGTGGCTTACAAGGAAAAGAAACGTTTGATTCCAAATCTTTATCTTATGGTGACCTGCCATAGACCACTTGTCCTACCTCTGGCAGCCCCCACGTCCCCCATCTTCTGTTCCTTGCCTTGTTTCCTTCCCACTTCTAGAGCTGGCCCTGTTTCTCTTTGCTTCTGTCTACTCCGTGTCCTGGGTCTGGCTGCACCAGGGCAGGGGTAGAGAGGACTACCGCAGCCACACTTCCCAGCTTGCCTGGGCTTAACAGTCTCCTGTGGTGCTTGCTCAAAGTACACAGTACATCCTGGCTGCAACCCACACCTCGATCCGGATTTCTAGGGTCGGGCTTTTAAATCTGTTTTTTATGAATTCCTCAGATGCTTATGATCCGGCAAGTTTGAGAACTCCCAAGAAGGAAAGGGAAGACTCTCTATCCTTGCTACTCAAACCAGCTGCACCGGCAGCATCACCTGGGAACTTGTTAGAAATGCAGAATCCCGGGTTCCACCCCAGACTTAGTAAACGAGAATCTGCATTTTAACAAGTTCACCAGGTGATTCACGTGCACATGAAAAGTTTGAGACGCTCCAGTGTAATATCTGTATCGCTTCCTTTCACCTGGCTATCAGGTGCAAAGGATTCAGCCAGTCTTCTTGGTTCATGACACACTATGACTAACATATGCAAGAACTCCCTCATATTGTTTTTCAAGTTTTGGCCCCGTACCCATTCCATTCCCTTGCCCCCATGGGTCACTCACATGTGTTTCATATATGTGTCTAAATATGCATGTACCCTTGTAAAATAGCATACGTTATATCTTCAAATCGTGACAACCATAATAAGGTAGTGTCCTCATTCTCTAGATGAGAAGAAGAGGGTTTGAAAAGCCCAGTAGGCTTGGCTTACTCGAAGCCAAGCAGGAGTCTGAGCATCAGGCAGGTATGGGTATGACTCACAGACTTCCCTTTGCTGGTGCGTGGCCTTATCTGCAGTCAGCCATACCTCTACCTTCAGGATTGCTGCAGGGTCCTACCAAATAGTGTGTCTTATAAACAGATAGTTGGAGCTCAGTGGGTGCCAGTTATTACTGAGGCCATATGGATGGATACAGCTGAGGGCTCAAGATAAGGCTGCTCTCCAATGCAAGAAACAAGCATTTATCTGGTGCCCACAGTGTACTTGGTTTTCCTAGTCTCGTGTAGTACTCTAGCCACCCGCAAGGTAAACACTGTTAGCAGCAGTGGTTGCCGTGCTAGGCTTGCCCCTCAAGGGATGGCAGAACCATGATGGGAACCTGGGTCAGCCTGGTTCTCAAGCCAGTGCTCTTTCGTAGAACTGCTGTACCCAGATCCCCACACCCTCTCCAGGGGAGAAGCATGGATCTCTGTGCAAAACCCATTCCTGAAGCTGGAAGTCTCCTTCCCTTCCACTTCCCTCCCCCCTCAGCTAGGCTGAGTGTTAGAGGAAGGGGCCATCCAGGTTCAGCACCCTGGTCAGCACCATCCTTCTGCGCAGCTGCCTCTGGGCCTGGGTAAGCCCAACCGTGGTGGCTGCTCTTCAATCCAGGATGGCCCACTCCTGGGGCAGGCAGGCATCCCTAAGAGAAAGGGACCCAGACCTAGGTGTTCTGCTTCCAAGACAGTCCTGCCCTCCCCTCCTTCAGATTAGAATCATAGGAATGCAGTTTCATCCTGTAGGCTTCCTGGTTCCCAGGACATAAATTCAAGTGAGAAGCCTATGAAGAAGAGGGGGACAGGCAGAGGGCCTGAGCCATGGTGATCCTGGGCAAGTCCTGCCCCCTATGGGTTTCCGCATCAGTACAATGGGGTTAAAGGTCGACCTGACTGTCTCTAAGATCCTGCCCATCTGTGAGAATCCATGATTCTTAAGGGGCCATGGGCCTGGCCCAGTTCAGTACACACCCCCCCCCCGCCCTCCACCTCTCCCCCACAGAGCTTCCCAACACACTGAAACTACAGGCCTCAAAGTGGCAGCCCACGGCCCAGATCCACCCACCAACACGCTCTTGCCCGCATGTTATTAAATGTAATAAGAGGCATGATGGCATATTATTAAATTTGAGTCTTGACTCTGCGGGGCACCAGCCTGTGTGACCCTGGGCAAGTCACTTAACCTCAGCTTCCTCATCTGTACGATGGGAGTAATGACAGCACCTACTCTGCAAGGTGGTTGTGAGGTTTAAATGAGCTACTAGAGGCAAATGCTTAGAAGAGTGCCCGGCAGAGAGAGAACACAGTATTTCACTTACAAATGGGATGACTGACGTGTGTAATGCATAACTGGTTCAATGAAAGGTACAAACAGGAAGTGTTTTCTTTCATCCAGCTGACCTCTGTCAATGCCCCCTTTCTCATCTCCGCATCTACAGCCCAAGCAATAACTACTGATTTCTTTGACTCTCAGACTCGGTCCAGTCCAGTTAGAACCGCAGTTGCAAGAGGTCTTCCCTGACCTCTTTTAGACCTTTGCTGCTCCTCTGTGGTAGGATGAGGAGAAGGAAAACAGAGAAGTGAAGTATCTCTTCACTGGCCTGATGCGGATGGGGTCGGGGGGAGGCGCTCTTGCTCTAGTTCATACTAGGTGCTTTGGGTGGGGTTTTTGATGCTGGGGTCCCCAGGTGACAACAGGCGTAATTTTGGGGGGGTGATGAGAGCTTTGTCCTGGACCCTCAGATAGGATGGGAGCTTCCGTCTAGTCCACCAGAGGCTCACAGCCCATCTGCTTCTCGAATCAGTGTGCTGGCTTCACAGCCACCTGTACCCCCCCCCCACAGTTCCAGCCTCCCCTCCCCTCCCTACACCAACACTCGGGGCCCCTCCAGCCATGGGGTCCTCCATGTGCCTACCTTTCCGGGCCTCAGAACACCAGGAGGGAAGGCAGGACTGCCTTTCCTCCCCAACACCACTGTCCCTTCAAGCCAGCACAGGCCACTTCATGGCCTCCCACATCAGAAATTTTCCAGGGCAGAAACAGACCTCATTTACTCGTTCACAAACACCTCCTGAGTTCCAGAAGATATATCTCAAGCCCTCTCCAGAGTACTCTCTACGTTTTTCATCTGTTCAGTACTGTATCTCCAAACCTAGCAGAGAATTGGTGCTCAAATCTTTATTGAAAGAATGAATGAAGGATCTCAGATGGCCAGCATTCAGGTGGTCTGCAGGCCTTGCACTTCCAGACTCCAGCCAAGAGGCAGAGGTCGGTCCACTTGTTGAGGGCGTACCCATCTCTCGGAGTGACTTAGTAAGCCCCAGACAGGGGGCAGGGGGTGGATATCTGGGCCCGGCAGGCGGCATCTCATCAGACACTCCTGTGTCCTCCGTTTCGCCTCACAGTTCTCAGGCCATGGGATAATCCCTATCAGCATCCTTTTACCCACAATGTCCAGATGCCCAGTTGCTCTTGACCGATCAGGAGCTCTGGCAA